CTTCTTCCTTTTTTATGTTTGTTACTCTCTTGTAACACCTCTAATCTTCATTCCGGTGCTCATATGACTTCATGGAGTTGCGAGCACCGTAAAACCTCTACTAAAACTTAAAAAATAACTATTACCGCTAACATCTTATTCGAACCAGAGCATTTCGTGTGTACCATAACCTGACACACGGGATACCCCACCAGCTGAACCACCGACCTGCTTGACTAACTCGCGCGTACGTTCATCTCAAAATGTGTCACGACGCGGTGGAATCAGGCGCTCGTAAATATTTTGGCATTCACGGGAGTAATGAATCGTATGTATTGTCTTAAAGCTTGTTTGTCTTGTTTTCCGTAAAAAAATCTCATCTTTCTTGACTAGAACTTGTGCCATTGGCGATTGAAGGAGGTGGGGTTCGCTTGTTTTCAGAGGTAGAAGTAGCGAGAAAATGACACCCAGTTTTTATGACTTTCATAGCTTGATAGACTGCCGAAATTGCAAATTTACACTCATTATGCTTCTAATCAATGTTTTACAATACAATCCCCTCAGAAACGTGTTTTTAGATGGACGTAAAAAGATGTTAAGTCACCCTCCCACCCTAAACAATTTTTTTTTTAAATCGATTAAAATTACCAAACTTTTGGGAAAATGCCATTTTCTTCTTTATTTCAATTATTTTGACGAGAGCCTGATTTCACCACGGGACCTCAAAATCAGTTTGGTTAATGGACAGAAAGAAACGTGATAGGTTTATCCTGATGATATCACCAGCATTATTCAAGAAACACGTGTTATCTATTGAGCCCCAATACATGCAGTAGGAGAGGGATAAACTCGAAGCGTCGAGATATCTATCTCAAATCTGAGAACTTCACTGTTGAATCATTATCTGCGAAACTGTCATTCCGATTTCGATTATACCTTAGAGGAAGGGCAAAAGTAAGTGCACTTCATTTAGTCTCAAGAGACGATGTCACTATTTCTGTGGAAAGGATGGAAGATTGTCGCACCTTAAGGATGGGTGTTTAAGTAACAGAAATCTGCTGAGTGGAACGTGTAACTTTAGCTCAGATAGTAATGTACTGGGCAGTAACACTGGTGAATTAAGTTCGGATTCCGACTGGAGTGGACTTACGCTCACAGTACGAGGCTAAAACATGAATAATATAGGAATTGTTTCCACACACTTATACATTTTATATACACACACCACTTTTATATACATAAATACATACATACATTCGTACACGTACACACACACACACACACACACACATACACACAAATACACACACACACTCCCACATACACACACAGACACAGACTCACACACAGACTCACACACATACACGCACACACATATGCACATACAAAAATATACACACACACACTCATACGCTTGTATATCTATCTATCTATCTATCTATCTATCTATCTATCTATCTATCTATCTATCTAT